ATATGTGGTTCAGAGTTCTGGGACCATCCCCTGAACCTGCTTGTTCGGGTATTCTGTGTTGTTGTTGGCGGAGCTCTCTGCTATACGTCCACCCGATCCTCCATCTTGTTTGTTCTCTCCCCTAACTTATTCTATCACAGCACCACATTCATGGTCCTTGTAATACATACGTTAAACCTCATACTATTATCTACTTTTAAAGCCTATTGTCCCTCCTCCATACACAGAGTTGACAGGGATGGGCAACTTGAACATTGACTACCCAAAATGGGAGGGGCTACAAAGGCAAGAAGTGACTGGCTTACAAGCTTTCAAGAGGGAACCTAGATTCAGAGGGCATAGAGGAAGGTAGAATCTCCACTGAGTAGTATCTAATCTGTCTAGGTGGGGCTAGTGAAAGGAAATGCGGATAGGTCTTTTGTGATACAATAGTGAATAATTGTTATCAGGACTGCTTGTGAGGGTTGGAAATGTAAAGGTAGATGTTTTATAACAAGGAGGGGAGTGATTAACTTTTCAGTCTAGGAGTGGAGGTCCCTGGGACCATCAAGGGAGAAGAGCGGAGAGCGGGACCCTACCCAGAGAAGCAGTAATGCCTGAGATAGAGGCAGAGACAATGACGTGGGGAGATGGAGCAGTTGGAGACTTTAGACACAGAGAGGGAGAGGAGCTGTGTGCTGACGACCAGGGGGCAAGCTTGTAGGGTATACCCTTTGGTTGGTTGATGATGCATGGAGGGCACTGTAACCATGGCAATGAAATGATATACGATAGGATGGAATGTAAAACTAATGTTTTCCCATGTAAACTATCACATAATTCACAATGAAACATTAAAACAACAAAATAACACCTAGTTGTTCTCTGACCCTAGAATGTAAGCTCTTGCTACAAGGATAAAGAGCATATGGACCTTCCCTGCTGTGTCCCCAAGGCCTGACTTGTACTTGTAGCCTTCTAGGGGTTCCTAATGTTTGTAGGATGCCTAACAATGACTGAGAGAGGGGAGGTTTGATCTTCTTCAGGAGAGGAAGTTTCATCTTCCTGAATTTTCTGCATAGCATAGTGTTTAGGTGTTAAGAAGATCCTAGTGAATAAAATGTTGGCCATCTTGTTGACTTTCCTCAATTTTACTACAAATAGGATATAAGAAGAATAAACAGCAGTTGTTAAGAGCTGTCGAGTCAGTTCCAACCCATAGCGACCCTGAACAGGGTTTCCGAGACTGTAAATCTTTACGGGAGCAGAAAGTCTCATCTTTCTCCCGCGGATCAGCTGGTAGTTTCAAGCTGCTGACCTTGCGATTCGCAGCCCGATTCGTAACCACTATGCTACCAGAGCTCCTTAGTTGCATATTACTCAACTAATCCAAGGTTACTTTTAAATTGGGTTCCACTTAATTTAAGAGACTTCAATCTTTCTCAGGATTTTACAAACTGAAAAGGCATTGCCTATTCTGAGTAGCCACTAACTAATAATCGTATCTACCAGTGGAGTGGTTCTTAAATGCAAAGTGCTCTTCTAAGTACTTTCTACAGCTTATTTCATTTGGTCTTTACAGTACTTACAACGCACATATGCACACTGTGGTACCAGCAGTGGACTGTGAACCACAAGGTCAGCAGTTTAAACTCATCTGTTGCTCCTTGGAAACCCTATGAGTCAGAGTCAATGCAACAGCACTTCACAACAACATAACACATATAACATCCTTGCACCCACTGCAGGACATTGAGCTGCAGATGTTAAATGAATTTGTCTAAGGTCTCACAGTTAAGATTTGATTCCTTGGCATCTGCCCTCCTGCCTAGGACCCCCCGCTCTCCCCCCCCACACACACACACACCTGACCCTCTACCCAGTGTTGACAGTGGCTGTGGCCAGACTGGAAATCCCCGAAGAGTATCAGGCAGAAGGGCCTCCAGGCAAACGGGGCCTCTCTCCATCTCCTCCCCAGATCATCTACCTGCGGCAGTTCAAAGACTTGCGGACACTCGGCCTCTCTGGAAACCCCATCTCAGAATCAGAGGATTACAAGATGTTTGTCTGTGCCTACCTTCCTGACCTCGTGTACCTGGACTACCGGCGTATCAGCGACCTCACAGCAAGTGTCTCTCTCCTTTAAAGCCCACAGATTGTGAGACAGTTTCACAGGGAGGGGCACTTAGAGGGACCCCACCAGTGGCTGCTCAGATTGCTTCTTGTCCACCCTGTCAGAGCCATTCCTCACGGTCACTGCTGAGTGTGCTTGTTGGCACCAGCCCCTCCCTAGCCCGAGTCAGCCTGCAGCACAGTGGCACACCAAGCCCCTGCCTTTTCCTTAGGATATTCACCCCAGCCTGGGAGGCAGCTCCTGCCCCTACCACCTCTGCCTGCCGCCTCTTGCCTCTGCTACACTCTGGCCCCATTCACTGCCTTTATCTGCAACACTGTTTGCAGTGTGTTCTGTCTGTGGGCACTTTCCCTCCAAAGAACAGGAAAAAAGCTGGTTCAACCTTGAAGCCTTGGGCAGCAGCAGAGTGATGTCTCTTGTGCTGGTTACCTGGGACCGAGGGTCACACAGCACCATCAGGAGACAGTAGGGGGCACTGATGGGATTCAGAGGCTTACCCCAGTCTCAACCCTGGTACTGCATGGCCTGGGCCCCAGAGCTGCTCCCCAGTGGCTGTGTCCTCCCAGGTGCAGTACTTCCCTGTTGGTACTCCTCAGGAAGTCCATAGGAATAGCGTGGGGTCAGAGGGCTGCCCTTCTGCTGGCTATGGGCTCTCCCTCCTGTCCTAGAATCTGGGGTTTAGAACACAAACACGAGTCTCATGTCTTGGGGGATATTTTTGACAATAATTTGAAAGCAGCATGAGCACAAGTGTTTGGATTGGTCAAAGACTTCTTTGGGTGGGCTCTGGTTATTATAAAGCTATGAGCAGCATGACACACCATTACAGAGCCCCTTCCCAGACTCCCCTTGGTCCACTGAAACCCCATGAACAGTGAGCAGGATGTCTGGGCCTTATCTAGAACCATCAGGATAAAGAATTGAGTTCTGCAAGACCAGGGTGCCATCCATATCACCGTCTGACTTGGCACCAACTGCAGCCCACTCAATCCCTGGTCCCATAGAATTCAGATGGTCGGACAGCTGACCAGGGTCGAGGGTAGGTTCACAGGGCCTGCCAGTCCTGTGGGGTTTTCCCTGAGGGCCCACTCCTAGCCCCTTCTAGGATACTTTCACATCAAGGTGCTCACCTCCTTCCAGCCCTGAGGAGTGGAGGGGGCCCCAGCCAAGGGCAGAGTAGACAGGGACTCTGAACTTGAGGGGCTTCAGATGGCCAGAAAGGGCAGGCAGCAGGCAGGGGTGTGGCCAGGGGCTGTGGCCAGGTCAGCAGGGCTTATCTTGTTGGAGACGAAGACCATGGAGAAGTCTCTGCAGATGGTGGGTTGTGCGGCATCCCAGGGGTCTGAGGACTGGTATGGGGAGGGAACCAAGGGAGAGATGGGGGCGGCAAGACTAGCAGCAGGTGCGATAATCCTCAGGGAGAGAGAGCCGAGCAGACAGTGGGCTCATAGAGGGCACAGCTGACAGAGATGGTACAGGAAGAATAATAGACAGTTTTATAACAGGAACTTATTTAGTAAAGTAAATCATTTATTCAAGCATAAATACACAAAGAACCAGAATATGAGTGTACAGTTCAGTGAATAACAAGAGCTTATTAGAAGTATTTCCACTCTGTATAAGACAGATAGATGATAATACAGGGAAATTTAAGCTGTTTGGTAACCAAGAAGCCACGTCAAGGTGGAGAACTACGCTCACCGTATCGGCTGGGGGTGGTACAGGGGCACTCAGGTAGCACCCAGGGTGAGAGCCTTGCTCAGCCCATCCTTGTCAATGGGCCAGCACACTGGGATGAGGCCAGTCAGGATCACTCTTATAGATGCAAGGACCAGGAGGAAGGACTAGGGCCAAGATTGTCCACAGGGGTTGATGTGCAATGGGCTGACTAGAGGGTTCCAGGAAGGTTTTCCTCAGGAAGTGGTTTTGAGCTGGCAGTCTACAGGATAGGCGGGAGTTGATTGGCAAAAGGAGTGGTCAGGCAGTCAGGCAGAAGACAGAATCTGTGTAAGTGCCCTGGGGCAAGAGGCAGCATGGTGAGCAGACCAGCAATGGGGGCTCAGAGAGCAGAGGAGACAGTGGGAGACAGGCAAAAGGGAGGCACCAGGGTCTTGAAGGACATGAAGGGAGCTGGTCCTTCCCTAAACCCAAAGGGAAGACATAAAAGGTAAGTGAGAGGCTGGCAAGAAGAGATGTGCAAACAACCAAGATGGCTCTGGTTACTTGCTGAATGGAGGCCGGATTAGAGGGAGGGTGGGGGACGGATGACGCCACCTGGGAGTCTAAGGCAGGGGTCCCTGTAAGAAATGCTAGGAAGATAAGGCCTCGGACGTGTCTCCTGGATAGGCTGTAAGCTGGGGGCTGCTCACTAGGAGTGAAGCTGGATGAATCATCAGAGGCTCCAGTCTGGGGATACTAGGTTAGAGTACTTGGGGTACATAAAGAAACTGAGGAGGGGCAAGGACTGAGTGGGTTGGGTGGAGGGGACTTGGGCCTTGGGTGGGTCACTTTACTGTCTCCCTATCCATTCCTTAAGGGGCCCCGACACTAACCAGGGAGGACTGTATGAAGTGATGCAGGAGTCCCGGTTCTCCAGTAGTGTCCATGTCTGCCCGGCATTCTGCCTCATACAGCTCCCCTGGCCCTTCCTGATGTTACTCCATCACCTAGATCAGTACTTGGGATGAGCCACACTTATGTAAACCCTAGGCCCTGCCTATCAGGGCTCATGGCACCCCATCCCTGCAGAAAGAGATGGCGAAGATGAAGCACCAGTATTCCATTGATGAGCTGAAGCAGCGTGAGACATTGATACAGGCCCAAAAGGAGGAGGCGCAGGCCCAGAGGGAGAAGCTGGAGTCACACAAGGTACTGCAGGAGGCCTCAGCTGGACCGCACCTCTGCCCTGACCCCCTGCCCCGGTCAAGAAGTGCCCAGGAGAGGGCGGCCACCAGATTAAACCTGATGCTACTCAGTTATGCCTGGGTCCCAGGACCCAGCATCCGCACCCAGCTCACTCCACTAGGCCACCTGCTGGCCCCGTCCGGGTCCAGGCTCCATGGTCTACCTCTTTGCTACAGTGACTGTGCATTGAGTCTGTCAGAGCAGCAGCTCCTTCTCTTAAACCCAGGGAGTGTCCCCCACTGCATGCCAGGAACAGCATGTGGCCTTCGCATCAGTCACTGCAGCCAGACTGAGCCCTGAAGAAAAGTTTGCAATAGTACTTGGCTCTGACCTCCACACACCCGCTGCCCCAGAAGCCACATCATCCACACATCTCCCTTCCTCAGAGGCCTTCCTTCCCCAGGTCCCAGTGGTGTGAGCCAGTGGAACCACACCCAGGCTGTTTCTTTCCACAGGCCGCATTCATTGAGCACCTTGACGGCTCCTTCCTGTTTGACAGCATGTATGCTGAGGACGTGGAGGGCAGAAAGCTGTCCTATCTGCCTGGGGTTGGGGAACTCCTTGAAGCATATCCTTTTTAGCTAGACACTGCCACCTCTGGCAGAACCCAGGATCCCTGTGCCATCGCCCTGCCTTCAGTCAAGCCCCCTTCCCCTGTGAGCCTCAGTCTGGGAGACAGTCCTCACTTCAGAGCAGTGAGTCCATGACATGGTTCAGAGCTTGGTCAGTGAGCACCCACGGGAAATGCCGTGTGCATTTCCAGAGACTCACTGACGTTCGGGCCAGCAACATTGGCAACATGCTCTGTGGTGGTGATCTGTGTCAGTCACACTTCCTTGTTCTTCTGTGTGCTTTGCATGCATTATTTGTGGGTTTCTACACCCCCACCAAAAGAGGAGCACTGTCACACATGCCACTTTCTATCCAGGAAAGCCGAGGCCCAGCCAGGTTCCGTGCCAGGCAGAAATGGGGTTTGAGCCATAGCCTGAGTCCTAAACACTGCGTTCTTCCTTCCAATCCACCCGACAGCTTGCTGAACAGAGATGATTCACTCTTCAAGACCTAACATTCTAGAAGTCATAACAGCAGTGGGTAGGAGCATGGAGGTGAAACAGACAGGGGCTGCAGTGAGTATGTTCAGGGCTGAGTGGATGGTTAACAGCTTAGCTCCACCTTGCTCTGCTACCTGCCAGTTGGTGACCTGCAGTCAGGCCGCCATGTGTTTGGATCTTGGCTGTAGCATGTTGTGGCTGTGTAACTCTGAGCAAGTCACTTCACCTATCTGAGCACTGGTTTTCGTCCTTGCAGTATTACTTGATCTTCCTAGCCTCAGTGACTCCTCCCTCTCAAGGACTCCAGGTGTGAAGAAGGAACGTGACTTACCAGAGTGGGTTCCCAGGGTCAGCGGCACAATCAGGAATCAAATCTGGGCCAGTCTGCCCTGAGTCTGACCACCCTTGGAGGCTCCACCGTAGCACACCTGCAATAGCAAGGGACCAGGGCCACCGCAGGCAAAGGTGTTAGAGAATAGACCAGAAATAAGACTTCTCCCAGGTGCTCAGGGCCCCAGGGGTCTCCCTGGAACCCGTCCCAGCATGATTCTCCCTGCTCTGTCAACTTCCTCTCACTGAATCACTCAGGCTGAGAGTGGAGGGGCCCCATTGCAGGCTCACAGCTGTGGTCTCAGTTCCCATCCTCAGTTTCTTTATCAGGCAAAGTGACTACAGGACCTAGGTCCTGGGTTTCTAGTACTGAGGACCATGTTCCACATCAGGAGACCTGATGCTGTGTTGTGCAGCATTTACCTGTGGCTCCTGGCGGTTCACTCCTGAGATGATGTCAGCCTCCTTAACAGCTGCTTACCTACAAGGACAAGTTTGTCATCATCTGCCTGAACATTTTTGAGTATGGTCTGAAACAACAGGAGAAGCGAAGAGTGGAGCTTGACACCTTCACTGAGTGCATCCAGGAGGCCATCCAGGAGAACCAGGAGCAGGGCAAGTGGAAGATTGCCAAGTTCGAGGAGAAGCACCTGCTGGTAGGCCCCGAACCACCCCGGTCCCATTCTCAGTGCTGAGTCCCCAGCCTCAGGCCACTGTGCTCTAGAATGTCAGGCACACCATGACTAGCCCTGTAGTGACCTGGCACTCATGTACCATGGTAGCCCAGGGGTCATTATTCCTAGTGACAGAGACCACAGAGCCAGCAAGTGGCACAGCCAAGGTTCAGCCTCATACCACCAACAAGCACAGTTCCTCCCTGTGCTTTAAGTGAGCTGAGCAAGGGGTTCTGGGGGGTTCAAGATGCTCCTACCCCCTAGTACTTTAGCAGCAGCAGCAGCAGCAGCAGTATCATCAATATATTGTTGTTGGAGTCCTAGTGTGGCACTATTCATAAGGCTTTATGAAAGTCCCATGAGCTACCAAAAGAACCAACAGAGCTGTGTCGGAAGAAGTGCAGCCAGAGCGCTCCTTGAAGGCCAGGATGGCCAAACTTCGCCTCTCATACTTCGGACATATTGTTAGGAGGGACCAGTAGCTGGAGAAGGATATCATGTTTGGTAAGGTGGAGGGTCAGAGAAAAAGAGGAAGACCCCCAACAAGATGGATTGGCAAAGTGGCAGCATCAATGGGCTCAAGCGTGGCAACAATAGTGAGGTTGGCCCAGGAGATCAGGCAGTGTCCAAGCTCACCAGGTGCTCTTCAGAAACCCCATACAGGGTCACTGTGGATCGGAACCGACTCGACAGCACTTAACAACACCAATAGTGTGGTACTGTAGGGTAAGCACTGCACCGCAAAGTTGGTTTGAACTGCATGGTTATCAGGTCAAACTCACTAGCCACTCCTCGGAAACCCTATACAGGGTTGATATAAGTCAGAACTGACTCGATGACACTTAACAACAATAACAACAATTATTATTACTTCATTAATTCATTCAATAGATGTGGGACCCAGAGCCACTTTCTCCCCTCTCCTTCCCCCGCAGGACCTCATGTACTCTGCACTCTTCCCCTTCCCCCATCAGACTAGAACCCTTGAAGGTGGTACCTGGCTCATTTGTTTCACACAGTGCCCTATGGTGCCTTTGACAGTACCCAAGTGCATCCAGTACCACACGTTTGGCAGAGCCTGTTTTAGAAGAGAGCATGGAACAAGGGATATCATTATTGATGGCTTAGCTGAAAACAGAGGATACCAGAAAAATGTTAACCTGTGCTTCATTGACTATGCAAAGGTATTTGAGTGTGTGGATCATAACAAATGATGAATAACATTGTAAAGAACAGGCATTCCAGAACACTTCACTGTGCTCATGCAGAACTTGCACATAGTCATTTCAGCAGAACAAGGCTATACTGCATGGTTTAAATTCAGGAAAGGTGTTGTGTCAGGGTTGGATCCTTTCACCATAATTCTTCAGTCTATTTGTTGAGTAAATAATCCAAGGAGCTGCCCCATATGAAGAACATAGCATCAGGATTGGAGGAGGAATCATTGAACAAGCTGTAATATGCAGATGACACAATCTTGCTTGCAGAGATTCAAGAGAACTTGAAGCACTTACTGAAGATTAAGGACTACAGCCTTCATTATAGATTATACTTCAACATAAAGAAAGCACAAATCCTCACAACTGAACCAATAAGCAAACCAATAAGCAATATCACAATAAATGGAGAAAAGAATAAAGTTGCCAAGGATTTCATTTTACTTGGATCCATCGTCAATGTCCAGCAGTCCAAGAAATCAAATTATGTATGTATTGCATTGGGCAAATCTGCTACAAAAGATCTCTTTAAAGTGTTAGAAAACAAAGATGTCACATTGAAGACTAAAGTGTGCATGACCAAAGCCATGAAGTTTTCAGTCACCTCATAAATATGTGAAAGATGGACCAAAGAAGAATTGATGTATTTGAATAATAGTGTTGTTGAAGAATATTAAATATATCATGGACAAACAAATATACAAGCAGAACAAACAAGTGTCTTGAAATAAATACAGCCAGAATGTTCCTTAGACTTTGTCTTATGTAGTTTGGACATGAAGAAAATCAAAACTGCAAGGAAACAGTTAGTCCAAAGGACTAATGGGATCACATGAATGCAAGCCTCCATGACACTGAGATTAGCTGCTACTGTTGACCACTTTGAGAAGGGTCATAATAGGAAACTCTAGATTGGGAAAAAAATGTGGAACAGAACTCAAAAGCATAAAATAGGGTAGGCTTACCAGTCAGATAGAGACAAGGAAAACTCCCAACACTGTGGTCCTTTGTCACCCTTTAGACTTGGAACTAACCTTGCCTCGGTGATTCAACTTTCAGCCTCACTATAGACAGATACATAAGGTGCACACAACACCAGAAGGGATGCACTCATTAGAACAATCAACTATATGAGATCCAAAGGACAGCCTTTGCCCAGGACAGAGCTCAAAAGGCAAGAAGGGATAGAAAAAAAGGAATGGAAACAGTAAACACAGGAAGTAGGAAGAGGGTTGTTACATTGTGTGGTTGCAATCCATGTCACAAGATAAAAGGTGTATGACTCATTGAATGGAAAACTAATTTGTACTGTACACTTACCAAAATCACAATTAAAAAACAAACATGGGATCCATATTTGTTGCTTGTTGTTAAGTGCCGTGGAGTCAGTTCCGACTCACAGCGACCGTGTACAGGGTTTCCGAGGCTGTAAATCTTTACGGGAGCAGAACGCCTCATCTTCCTCCTGCGGAACAGCTGGTAGTTTCAAACTGCTGACCTTAAGGTTCGCAGCCTGATATGTAACCACTACGCTACCAGAACTCCTTGTTATTTATATTGTCAGTTTGTCAAACTATGGTAGCTTGCTTGTTGCTGTGATGCTGGAAGATATGACACCAGTATTTTAAATACCATCAAGGTCACTCATGGTGGACATGTTTCAGTGGAGTTTCCAGACTAAGACAGACTAGGAAGTTCTGAATGTTTAGCCACTGAAAACCTTATCAATAGCAGCAGAACATTGTCAGATATATTGCTGGAAGATAAAAACATTCTAAGTAGAACCAGAATATTATCAGATATAGTGACAAGAGCCTTGCAGGTTGGAAGGCATCAGTTGCTCACATATAAGTGCATGTTAATGCTGAAGAACATTAAAACAAGTCCACAAGAGCCAAAATATGGCCTTAAACATATTCCATCTGAGTTTAGAGACCATCTCAAGAACAGATTTGATGCATTAGACACTAATTACTGAAGACCTGAAGAACTGTGGGATGACATCAAGAACATCATACAGGGAAAAAAGAAACAGGTAATTTAAAAAATAGGAAAGAAAGAAAAGACAAAATGGATATCAGAACAGACTCTGAAACTTGCTCTCTGGTGTAGAGATGCTAAAGCAAATAAAAGAAATGAGGAAGTCAAAGAGTTAAAAAGAAAATTTCAAGGGCAGCTCAAGAAAACAAAGTATTATAATGAATCGTGCAAAGATCTGGAGTTGAAACACCAAAAGGGAAAAATACGCTCAGCATTTCTCAAGCTGAAAGAACTGAAGACAAAATTCAAGCCTCAGGTTGCAATATTGAAGGATTCTCTGGGCAAAATATTGAATGGTGCAGAAAGCACCAAAAGATGATGGAAGGAATATACAGTCACTGGACCAAAAGGAAATAGTTGATGTTCAAGACATAGCATATGATCAAGAACTGATAGTGATGAAGGAAGAAGTCCAAGCAAGGCATTGGTGAAAACAAGGCTCCAGAAATTGATGGAATACGCATTGAAATCTTTCAACAAATGGAGGCACTCACTCATCTATAACCAAGAAATTTGGGAGACAACTATCTGGCCAACTGACTGGAAGAGATCCATATTTATGCTCCTTCCAAAGAGAGGTGACCCAACAGGATGTGCAAAACATTGAACTATGTAACTAATGTCACATGCAAGTAAAAGTTTGCTGAATATTATTTTTAAATGACTGAAACATTAGCAGAGAACTGCCAGAAATTGAAGCCAGATTCAGAAGAGGATATAGAACTAGGTATACCCTTTGCTGAGGTAAGATGGATCTTGGCTGAAAGCAGAGAATACCAAGCTTGAATTTTTTCTTCAGTTCTTTCAGCTTGAGAAATGCTGAGCATACTCTTCTCTTTTAGTATTCTAACCTTTCATTATAATACTTTACTTTGTTTTCTCAAGCTGCCTTTTGGAATGTTTTGTTCAGCTCTTTGACTTCCTCATTTCTTCCATGTGCTTTAGCTTACCTACTATTCTCAAGAGCCCTGGTGCAGTGCTGTAGGATAAGCACTAGACTGCAAGGTTGGTTTGAACTACAAGGTCAGTGGTTCAAACCTACCAGTCGCTCCTTGGAAATTCTATACAGGTTTGCTATGAATTGGAACCGACTCGACTCGATGGCACTTAACAACAACAACCCTCAAGAGCAATTTCAGAGTTTCTTCTGACATCCATTCTGGTCTTTCCTGGCTTTTGCTTTTTTATATATATGATGTTCTTGATGTCATCCCACAACTTCTCTGGTCTTCAGTCGTTAGTGTCCAATGCATCAAATCTCTTTGTTGAGATGGTCTCTAAATTCAGGTAGGAATTTAGAGACCGTCTAAAGGTTATATTTTGGCTCTCGTGGACTTGTCATTTTCTTCAGCTTCAGCCTGAACTTGATTTGAGCAATTGATGTTCTTTCTGTTCCACAGTCTGCCATTGGCCTTGTTTTGGCTGAGCTCTTCCCTAGTCTCTTCCCACACATACAGTCAATTTGATTCCTGTCTATTCCATCTGGTGAGATCCAAGTGTATAGTTAACATCTATGTTATTGAAAAAAGGTATTATTCACAATTTGAATAATAGTGGTATTAGCTTGTCTTCCTTGTGTACTCTGTTCCAACTCATAATGACTCTATAGGGTTTCTGAGGGTGTAAATCCTTGTGAGAGCAGAAAGCCTCATCTTTCTCCCATAAACTGCTGTCCTTGTGGTTAGCAGTCCAGCTAGTAATCCACTATGTTACTGGAGCTCCTTG